TGAGGTTTAGCAACGCTTGTTAAAAGCTGTCAAAGCTATCGATGAATCGAACTGTACACCCATCTCAGTTGTTTATACCAAACAGTCTTAAAGGTTGGAGTACTTTTTCGAATCCAAACGCGAAAGATCAGTTCATATTCTCAGCAGTGTCAGTAGCGGAGAGGCAATCATTTTGTTCACGTACCCTACCAACAAACCGAGCGAGTGAATATTAACTAACTAACTGCTACAACTCGCTCATAATTTCGCATTCACGAATGAACATTCGATATTTTAATTGCCACTGTTTTAGAATAGGCCAAGTTCGATATATTGTCTTGCCATAAATCCACGAATTAGTAACCCCCTCCTCCTCGAATAAGTGCCCCTCCTCTCGGCCAAAATTTAAAATAAGCGTCCCCCCTCCTCCTATTTTGTGGACGAGTAATGAGACAACAAAGGATGTACAGTTTTCGTCGTGTAGTCTTAGATTTGTACATTGTTTCAGTTTGTGAACACGTTAAGTTTGGAAACAAATTACAAATACTAACAATACCACGATTTAAACTTTAGGATTAGCTTTTTATGTCGATAAACAGCTTATGTTGTTGTTTACTCGCAGATAATGAATTAAAAAAATAACCATGTCAGGCCACGATTTGGGAAAAAATATCGACCAACCGAGTGACCAAGCGATCTCTACTAACCACTGTAGCTTGTATTCACGAGTTTAAATGGTTGAAAGCCACAAGGTACTGAAGGTAAACTGGCTTAATCAAGGAGAGACTTAGGCTTTTGAGCTGTGTACTGAATTAAGATTTGCATGCAACTGACTGAACTTAGCTCGAAATTACTTGAATATCTCTGCTTAGAGTCTGGGCTCGCATACTATTATCGACTGGTCGATCGGTCATGGAAAGCAACATCTCTTAAAAAAATATTATACAACGGTGAACATTTAAGATTTGAATAAATGTACAACGAGACATCACCACGGTAACTTTCGAGAGCTTGAACTTTTTGCGTCGCTGTGTTGCATTTCCGCTTACGTAATGTCGAAATGTCCTTCAGGCGTGGCTTAGGCCGTCAATATAAATCTCGTGGGTGGCTTGATCGAGACAGATTTTGCTGGCTAGTTTTCAGTGGAGTTTGTTTCTCGTTTGCCTCAAGCTGAGTGAAATGGACAGCGTGCGGACTTTCGACAGCGCCACAACTCTAACAATTTGCGAAGGATGCGATGTGAAGAAACCGGAGCATATTTTTTAAAAAAGATGCAACTGCTGTGATTGTTTCCGTAGAACAAGCTCTTTCCGTGTTTGGCAAATTTTGCTGGTCCTCCTCGTAATTGTGATCATTTTTGCAGGACTGGGCCTAGCGATGTTCCGTACTGGAAAGGATACAGTTTCGCGTTCTCACGAAGGTAAATAGATTTCACTTATTTAGGAGCCGGTGTATGTCGAGTACAGATGTACTTCTTTCGCGAGTTCAGCTAGCTGTCACCCACAGAACGTCGATTTAGTAGCTGCAATCACGATTTACCAAAACACGGACAATTACTAACTAGTACTAGCTAGAAAGGTCCAGCAGCTTATAGAATTTTGTTCACTGTACTTGGTCTGCATTCTTTGAAAACTGGCAATGTATTTATTGCAGTTTCAATAAACATTCTAAATACGACTCTTGAGGTGAAGTCATTTATTTATCGCGGTTAGAACAGAGAAATAACATCAACAAACTGTTTGTTTTCGATATAAATAGGGTGAAAAACATGTACTCTATGCATTACAATTCACTTGAAGTCTTCTTCTCGTAACTATTTCCGCAAGGAAATTTCGATGACAGGAAATGTTTTCGCTTGTAAAAACCCTATCGATACCAATCGATATAATCGATCATGATCAACTGAATATTTTCGATTGGTCCTATCATTACATCAGACATACTGTTAGTCTCTTCCGCAGCCGTTTTTTGGGATGTCACGCAACTCTCCCCCAACTCTTTCTTTGCGGGGAGCGTTGCGTGACATCCTAAAAAAACGGCTGCGGAAGAGACTAACATGCTGTTGAATGGAAGCGAAAGTGAAATCCCATTGATTTGTAAAACATGGATTTGTTTGGATTGGATGGATTTGTGGATTTGTAAAAAGTGGACTGCCGGTAAAAACAAAACTAAATGGCATTTATTCGACTGTTTATTTGCTTGTCTATTACATTTACTTTTACTCGGTCAATTATCGCTTGATATATAATTACTGATAGTTGCCGTGTTGTCGTGGGTCTGTTCAGTAACAGATCGAAGAGGGCATCAAAATGTGGTAAGAACTTCAGTGACACACTCGCCTAACGTCTCATGTGCATCGTTTTTGTTCTTACCGGTTTTGGACGTTATCTGTGGTCTATCAGGCTACAAAGAGATGCACGGCAACATGGAATCTACTGAGCAATTAGGTTATGAGCTTGAGATTTCCATGAGGTGATGGCTGATGAGGCCGAAGGCGAAAAAACGGCATTATTAATCAAAAGGTTTTGAAGTATATTGTCAGGGTGTGGCGTGGATACAAAAGTTATCCAGGCGAGTCTCATGCATAGGAGATGAATGCAGGGAAAACCAAGAAATAAACTGAAGAGCACCAAACATGATAACTCAAGAATGAAACAACACGCCTCATTTATTTTTATTCAAGCATCCCAGCGGATGAGTCCTAGAATTTGATTGGCTGATTACGCGGGGCAGTTTTTCACGATAGTGACCCGGAGCTACTGACCGCTCACATCCCCTTGCCAGAAACTTACCTTGTGCCTGAGCATGTAATGCTTTTTCAAGCATGTAATACTTTTATCCTCATCGTGTTTAAATTTAGGATCTTATTTACTTGCTTAACTATCTAGTTGGACTCCTAGTAGGCAAGCCGTTGTTTGTGAAAGAGAGAAACGTAGACCGGACTCGAGAGAGCCACGGAAATCGAGCACCTAAGAAATATCGCATTTATATCGAGGAGCTTCCTGTTTACTCTTCCAGGAGGCGAGAACACAAAAAAATACCGGCAAGTGCTAAGGCTACAATAACAACAACAGTAACAACTAAAGACAAAAGTACTGCTTCTGGTAAAAAAGCAACGTCAGTCAAACTAACTGAGCGACTCAAAACAGTTGGTAGCGCTAAACGCACGGGCTAAAATTATCCGCCGGAGAACTAAAAACCATGTCCAAAAATGTCGTGAGAATGATTACTTCAGGAATAAAACCTATATGGGGATTAAGGAGGAGCTTGTCTTATTTCACCAGCTATTGAAAACGCTAAAGAAACAACACCAGCAAACCAACTGAGCAACAAACAACTCTCGGTACCACTAAACAGACAATTCAGGAGACAAATGGCCAACCCACGACAGGTCCTTCCACTCAACAACCTACAACCACTGCAGAACCTACAACTCCAAAGACAACTAGTGAAACCACGGCAGGCCCGACGACAAAACTCCCTTCAACCACAAAAGCACCAGAAACTACAAAGCCACCGTCAACTACTGCAAAACCTACAACTAAGAGGCCACAGTCAACCACTGTTAAAACTACAACTACGAAGACAACGGCAACCACTGCAAAAGCTATAAATACAAAGTCACCCTCAGCAAAAGCAAAAGCTACAACTACGAAGCTACCCTCAACCACTGCAAAAGCTACAAATACGAAGCAACCCTCAGCAGCAGCAAAAGCTACAACTACGAAGCAACCCTCAACAACTGCAAAACCTATAACTACGAAGTTACCCTCAACAACTGCAAAACCTACAACTACGAAGCCACCCTCAACAACTGCAAAAGCTGCAACTACGAAGCCACCCTCAACAACTGCAAAAGCTGCAACTACTAAGTAACCCTCAACAACTGCAAAAGCTACAACCACATGACCACATGACGTTTACTAAAATGATCGGATTTAAGTTGCAAAATACAAAAACTCGAAAACAAACAATCTTGAATTTTTTAAGCCTTCGCTGCGCATTTGAAATTAAAACACGCTTAATTATTCTTGCCGTTTCGAATGTCGTTGTTCAGGTCAGCGAGAATTTAATTCTGAAACGTTATAAGCTGATTGTTTACTTACCTTTCCTGTCATTTCATTTGGAATGTTTCCTTGTTTCCTCGCAAAAATTCTCCCATGGCCGCAAGCTTCACCTTCATTTACTGCGGTGTATTTTGTTTCTTTTATACCGGTGTGACGAACACTACTCGCGTCCGCTCACTACGCGCTCGAGAGGAAGATCATCGTACCCCGGTACCCATCTCAGTGAATTGCTTCATCCTTCACATGCACACTTTAAAGACGACGCCAACAGTTTGTCTTTGCATCACCTTTTGCATCGTTTATGAACTGCCTGAATCTCGGACAGCCCGGTGACGTAAGCAAAATATTTGCATATTAACGACACTTCGAAAATGTAAGAGTTTGTATGGAATTTAGAGGTGCGACTTTCGGACGATAAATAGTGTCAAAATCGCGGAATAAAGTTCACAAATCTATATCTTG